AAATCATGTCAGGGCCTTCACAAGACCTTCACACCCCCTGGTGGAATAACTCCTTCACTCTGCTTGGGCTAACAAAACTGAACTAGACTGAGAATTGGTGGGTTAAGCTGCCTTTATAGAGGTGTTCCTGTGTCAAAGCCATCAAGGACCAATAAAATTGCCTTGGCTTAACTCTAGATTTCCTAATGCTGGGATGATTGCTTTGATAGCCCCCTCAGTTGCAGCTAACAGATTCATAACATTCATCTTTGTGATCAGAAGCGATTCAGAGTTCTTATGGACTGATATAACACAGGGGAGAACGTCGAGTCTTTCTGCCAGACATCATTCTAGTCACCAACAGTAAACTGGAAGTGGATCACTGCCTAGGATGCAGACCCATAGGTTGTTGGTATAAAAACCTTGCTCTGCTGGCAAGCTGCAAGCAGACTCAATTTGTTAACACTAACACTTCTTTTTTTTGTCTCCCCCTCTAGGGTTGCGGGCCATCCACTGGCACAGAATGAGCGCTGTCTGCACATGTTCTTACAAGATGAAGTAATAGACAAAAACTACACACCATCCAAAATAAGACATACTTGAGCTCTTGAAAGAATCCTTCCAAACATTAGTGGTTCTTATGCTTGGTTTTAAAAGGTTATAGTTTGTCTTAGCATGCAGAGGATAACCAGACACGAAGTCTCCACTAACATCCAGTGCACTGCTTGGTCTTTGCATATACTTTATAGCATTAAAGAATTCACTTGTATTTTAGCTAAATCCCTCTGAACCCTTGATTTAAGAGTATTATACTATGAGACCATCCACCCCTTGCAGCATCTCTCAGACCTTTCCACTCTTATTTGCAATGATTTAACAATGTTTACTGACTTGGCCTTACTTGAACTTGCACAGTTGTAGTGTCACGTGGTCACTTGTATATGACTAAACTGCTATGCTTTCTGAGGTAGTCATCTGTCTGAACTTCTGTAGAGACTGCTTTCTTTCTGATACCCTGTGTGAGAGACACTTATGCAATTGTCTTCAAGCTTGTAAAACACTTTATACCGAGGCAATGAGGGAATTATCTTTATATTCTGTAAGGAAGCAAAAAAAATCAAATTTATATACTAAAATAACTTGTCTAAAGTTTTGAAATAAAAGTGAAAATGCACTTCACATGTTTGTCACTCCTGACCTTAAGTGTGGGGTATCTAATGATTTCTGAGGAGCCGGGACTTGCCTAAACTAGGTCAACTGGTGTTTCAGCAGTGCCGTGCTGCTCTTCTGCAATGTAGTTCTGTCACTAACAGCCATCACTAAATGCTGTTTGATGCTGGCACTCACTGACAGTGTTATTCAACAAATAAATATATTAAAGGTTGCTCTGGTGTTGTGGACCCAGAGCTACAACCCCATATGTGGTTGGCAGTCAACAGCTATGTGGCTTCAATTAGTTGGGAGAAGGGTAGCCCTCTACTTGGTATGAGAAGCCTCAATCTAGCTTCAATTATTATATGAGAATTATATCATCTTATGGAGAAAGGAATGCTGCCAATGTTCTGTAATAAATTTGAAGTCCTCTAGCTGAATATTAAAGTGGTATAAATGTCATTGGGGATATGAAGTCATGCAAGCCTGCTATAAACTGTAATCACAGATGACTTCCCTGGACATTAAGGGGAGGCTGTAGCGTTGTGCTTGTATGGCCACAGGTCCAGTGCAGGCTGAGGACTCCTGAACTCATGTTCACAAGCAGTGTTGCTGAAGTATTCCTTCTCCCTAGATGTTTGTGTGGCTAGAGAAGCTTTTTTCAGTGATCCAAAATTTGATGAGGGAGCTCCCAGTTGAGAAACACTAACAGCAATCTGATCCAGTGTGCTGTGCTCTTCATAACAGTGCATGTTCTCAGCAACTTCACTGCATGTTGGCTTAGGCTTGGCTCTGCTACTGCTTTGTCCTCTTATATATATATCTATTCCTTCCTATCACTGTGTAGACAACATGCTACCAACTTGCAAAGTTACTCGTTTCCTTTCAATAAGAGCGTTAATCTCATTTTAAACTTCCCCTATGTCATTTGTATGGAACTCTGGATGTGAAAGTGTGAACTGACAAACACTGGTGGGCCGACTGGATTATGTGTGGTATCAATGGAGCGTTCTATCTTGTGGCTGCAATAAAACAAGAATTCGTTTCTCAATTTATCGGCAGAGGTGATCTGGGTGCTCACAACCAAGTGCAGTCTTCTTATTTTTGGACTTTGCAGTGGGAAGAAAATACAGCAGACACCGGTGGCACAGCTCTGGGTTGCAGGTGGGCTGTGGAAGTCTTGGTCCCTGCTTCCATGGGTAGGGCTGTGGGGATAGATTCAACACGGTCTTTGTTAACTATGAGGGGGGCAAAGGATTTTCAAGAAATTTTTGGTAATACAAAATAATCAATTCTAAAACTCCCTGTGCTCGTTGAATCACACTTAAAAGCTGAATTACTCTTGGAAAAGGGACAAGAAGGACTAAATGTGTGTGAAGTTTTATTGATTTAGGTTTAGATACATAGCAAGGTGTTCTTTTTCTTTTCTCAAATACTTTATGTGAGAAGCTTGCTTCTGAAATCAAAGTAAGTGTCCTGTCGTATCCCTAAAAGATGGGCTGGGTCCTACTAGGATGAGGTAGGGGTGTGCACCCATTGCCCTGCCTGATTTGCAACCGAGTTAAAGCTCAGAAACTGAATTATCACAAGGGTGGAAAGCCACAACTGGTTTTCTGCCCTGTCCAGTTCTCTTGAGTGCAGAGCAGAAAACAGTTAAAGAGCAGTAAGTTACCAATGCAGTAAGAACTCCTCATCAAGTGTTGGTTTCTTTTTAAGACCGAACTCACCACACCCTCTGGTAAACACATTCGCAAGCACTCGGTGCTGGTTTGCATGGAAGGCGTTTCAAAGTCCTGTAGTCCGTGCTTTATCTCACCTGACTCCTAATGGTCCCGCTGTCTTGGAAAGAACACAACGTGAGACCTGTCGGACTGAGCAAGTGGAAGAGAGAGGGGGTGAAAACTTCAACCTCTAAAGCAGGAGTTTTGTGCTTGGAGTCCGTGGAGCTAGGATTTCGCTTCTGGTCAGTGACACCAACAAACAATGAGCCACTGATACACGCTGTACACTTCCACTTGACACTTCAACTCTTTGCTCACTCACTGCCTTACAAACAATATGTTTTATTTTTCTTCCTGAGTCCGGGGAGTTGCTCACCCCTTTCCGTGGTTTGAAATACAACTGGACACCTCAATAAAACTTCAGAATCTTTTTAATTGAAGCAGTGTTTTTGTACTCATCACCCATCGTGAGATGCACAACCTACAGGTACTGAATCCAAATAACTCAATGCTAAAAAACAAAATAGAAGACGTATGCTAGGTTAGACATCAAATCTGTTTGGAATTATGTCCCCGAAAAAGCTCTGTCAGCTCCTTGAGAAGGAGAATGTTAGAAAGCTTGCAGTAAATGTGTTTGAAATACAGAAAACAACGTTGTAGGACATCAGATCCTTTTGCCCCAAGGCAGGATCACCTGTAGCTAAGTTATTCCCTTAAAATTTGTCTAACCTGCTCTCTAAAACCTCTGATGATGGATACTCCACAGCATCTGAGGCAACTCATTTTAGTAGAGATTATTTCTGTAAGTAGAGTGCAGTCAAAGAAACTAATCCAGAAACAAAAGGATAAGCATTAAAAGGGCAGTGGAAAGTAATTTAAATTCAATATATTTTTATTCTTTGTAAATACAATGAGTACAACTTTTTAACTTCACAAATCAGTTAATCCACTTTGTACAGGAAAAGTTTTACTCATTCTATGATAGTCCAAGTGCTGATTTTTCTCAGTGCTAGTTTCTAATAACAAATCAAATTTTGAAAAGTACAGCAGCTATCTTTAAACGTTTTTTCCTACATGTTTCATACATCAAATAAGCAGCTTATAATGTTTTTGTGTGTGAGAGGGTGTAGGCGAACAAGGCTTCAAAATTAGAACCTGGAGTTTTCTAAGAAGGCATTGGAGACTTTGGGAAATTGTTAGCATCGTATCAGTCAGCCACCTTTATTTCTTTGAAATAAAATCCCTTCCGTTGATTTCTTTAGAGTCATTTCACTTCTCTGCACATCTCATTGACAAAGAGTTTGGCCACCGTTGCCTTTGGTTTCAGCACTGTGCCAACGGGACAGCCAGCAGGTCACTGAAGCGGTCATCTCCATTGGATTTGGTTTTGCTGTTTTAGTCTTCCTTTCTTGACTCGGACTTTTTTTTGGGGGCGTGTTTGGGTGGGTGCTTGTGTGTGTAAGAAGAAGGGAAGGTCGGGGAGGAGGTGTGTAAAGCTCTTCTGTCTTGAGATGTTAACCAAACGACGTCTGGTGACACTGCGTCAGAGATCACCAGCTCGTTTTGCAGGAAGAATGGAACTGCCGTCATAAGCTACTTTTTAATCAGTTCTGAAGGCCACTTCATGATGTATTAGAGCAGAAGCAATGTTTTGGTAACCTGGTCTTAAATGTTGCCTACCGTATTAAAACATTTTACCAACATAGGCTACTTTTAAAACAGTTCTGAAGGCCACCGCATCTCGCGTCACAACAGAAGCCAAGCTTGGTCACCCAGTTCCAAATACCGAACAAACTAAAGTACCTTCTTTCACATTTTGTCTCGGATCTGCCAGTTAAATGAGAGAATAGCGGAGTCTTTGTTAACTATGACTGGCATCTGAATTGCCTCCATCCTGTACTAACAGGAAAAGCAGCCAAATTCCAACCACTTTCACTTTTTCTGCAGAACAAAGCTTTCTCTCCATGATCTAAATCGCTCTGTTCAGAGCAGCAGAATCATATCTACTGGGGTATTTTTTGTCAATGAGTTTAAAGGCTAAACATTCCCAGGCTTATGCTTCCTGTAGGTTTTGTTAGTTGAGGCTTATTCTCCATAGATAAAAGTTCTTCTCAAACTGTCCGTCCTGATGGTTTGCTTTAAGGTAATTTATATGTCACTGGATTTGTACATATCTGAAAGCAGTCTTGTAATTGGTACATTCCCAATGGTCTTTTTGAAAAACACTTCTTCTATTGTAGATGGACTAATCGAACGTAAAGCTGGTAAAAGCAATAAAAGTTTTCCAAAACGACAGGGTTGTGTGGGGTACCTGGGAAACGGAGAGAGGAAAAAAAAAAAAAAGTGTTATTGAAGTTTCTAGATGTTTTTCCAAAGAAAATCTTTCACTTCGTAGAAAAATTGCACAGATGGGCGCTACCTGTGCTAAAACCCTGTTTTGTACTCACATGAGCCAGAAGGTTGACCCCAAGGCAAACTCTCCTAATGGAGGTTAGCAGAATATAGACCAAGGTCTCTGAGTTTTGATTAGCTCCTTTGTTTATCCCCTCAGAGCAGGAGCAATACAGAGGCAGGATCTGCTCTGGTTTGTCTCTCAGACAACAACTATGTTCTTGATGCAGTTCAGGGAAGAGCTTGACCTATAATAAATACCCTGTCATTTAAAGTGCAATTTAGACCTAGCTGGATTGTCATGGTAATCATTTTGCCTCCTTCTGGTTGCCTTACACGTTTAATAACAATTGACATTTAGAAAGAAAATTTTTGATTAAAGAAGCTGTGTTTTGTCCCCAGGTAATGTATTTGCGTAATAAGCTTTTCCATCCTTTCTCCCAGCTTTTGAAACCAACACGACACGGGATATGGAGCCTAGTTGTGCTTACACTGACTTTATGTCGGTGTGATTCTCAAGCCCTGAGTTGCAGTGGTCTCCCTAAAAGAAGGAGTAGGTCGTGGAGAAACATCCTGCTCCCCACGTTGGCCCTCCCTTGCGTCCTACCGAGAGTGACTCCACCGAGATCAGGAGGCTGATACTGCTGTCACACCGGCAGGACAGTAAATTCAAGCCTGAGGGTGAAACAAGCTGAAAACCTCATCCCATTGGAGTCAGCGTGACGGTTCTGTTAGTGGAGCTTGGGTTTCTCCCTTTCTAGAAAGGGTTTGATACCCTGCAATGGGAGTTTGAGCTGCTCACCTGTTCTCAGCCAGCTGTTACAGAGCGTGGGTTTGCATTTTGCACAGTACATTTCACCCATTCCTGAGTTTACCTCCGTATACTTCATGGCATGTCAGCTACAACTTTTACAGCAGGTTTTAACAGTCCTGTACCCCATGGGACTCTTGTGCTGGATGGGACAGGTCATCTTTTCTTCCCAAAGCAATGATTCTCATCACCCTGCTCTGTCACCAAAATGGGATTCACAAGTTGCGGGTTTTTCATTTCAGCCCGAACACAGATTTAGGATAGCATCTCAGAAGAGCCATGTAGCTTCCCTGTGTCTCAATTTGTCTACAAAATGGGGGAAATGACATGGGGAACTAACTGTATTGGAGATATTGGCTGAAAAGCACTTACAGTGCTGCGGGGTGAGATGTTGAGTGTCACTATTGGCATTGCTTAATAGAATAAAACGTAGAGAAAACCTAGCCTTCTGAAATGCAAAATGCTCCACAGCACTATCACTTCGCAAGGGGAGATACCTCCTTTTACCATTTTCCATTTGTCTGAATAAACCCCATCTTCCTCATTTCATCGGGAAATGCCAAATCCCAGCAGGCTGGCAGTCAATTTGTACTGGCTGTAAAAGCCTGGTCCCCACGGCAGTCAGAGGAAATGTCACTTTTGCTACAGCCAGAGCAGGATTTGGCCCCTACGCCTGCAGGAAGGACTTGAAGGAGGCGCTGCTCACCTACCTGGTGTGAATGTAGCTGTTCAGGGTGAGCTGGGCTTCGTCTTGGAGGGCGGCTATCGCGGCAGCGTTTCGGAAGCTCCTCAGCTCAGAGCCACTGTGTGTCGGCACTGCAAAGCAGATCAGTTACTTAGTTCAGCGTGGGTCAAAATAGTTCAGCTGATGCTGTCTGTGGGGGCTAAGCGTTCCCATTAGTCCCCCAGCACTCCATTGTCAGCCTTTCAAAATACAGCACTGACTACTGGGATTTAATGCCAGGAAACCTGTTGGGTGATGCAGCGCTACATCTGGTTTAAAACGTCATTTTTTGCTTTAAAGTAGCAACCTCAAAGCTATCAGGACAGACTAGCAAGAGCTTATTTCTGCTTACCAGCTTTAAAAGTGACAATGCATTTGAGACAGGCAAATTCAGTAGCATCTAGCCGGAGTTGTCTAAATCTAGCCACAACCTCCTGTAAAGCCTGTATTTCTGAAATAATTTTATTCAGCTTCTGAGAATCTGTATTGTCACCGTTCATGCCTGAAAGAGAAACAGAAGCAGATGAAATAAATAATATTAAAGGCATTTGCTTTATTTTATATTGATTTCTGACAAAATCCTGTGTATCAATATCCATTCTATTGTCACACTTGTCTATCTGGTTCCATGTAAACTGACTATATTGTATGAAAGTTAATATAAAATCTTCTCTTGGATGATAACAAACACAGTAATTTGCATTTAAATGACAATGCAAGCAGTCATGAATACAACAAAACAACATTATTTGCATTTAAATATAGATTTATAAATGACAGGTATGCTCCATTGTTCAGTAGGAATTTGTTATTCTTTACATGTTGTTCTTTTTTCAGTAATGTATTTTTATGGTAATTTTTGTAACAAAGTCATTAAATTGTGCAATTCTTACCAGATACAGCCAGTAGAGTGTTAGCATCAACTGGAATGGCCCATTGTGCTATTCCTAGAACAAACAGTTCTCTCCAAGCATCTTCCAAAAGCATCAGCTGTCATACAATAGATGTACAATATAACATAGTGTATAATTTATAGATTTATAAACAATTTAAATATGTAAATTTCTGTTATTTTAAAAACTACTTTAAATGCCTGTCATGGTATTTTCCCCACAGAATGCGTTAGCTCCTCTCTTAGCTTTTTGAGAAGGTGTCTCGAAATAAGTCCGTGCATTGTAGCGAAACACGCGGTGTTGGCTCCCTGTGCACCGTGTTGGACACCAAACGGGAGCAGAAAGAGAAAGGGGAGTGACAGCTCCTGCCCCAGAGAGCTCACACATGACAGGAGTGCTTGCCTCTATTTTTTAGCATGACTCCTATCAGCCTGGGCTCTCCTCTCCGTGGCCATGTAGAGCTGTCCTAGAGCAAGCTGGAAGGGTGCTTTCCTATTGCTCTCTAGGGATTACCTTCCTTTCCCTCCTGAAGGCAGGATTTCTGAGGAAAAGCCTGGAATTGCATCACGGGGTAGGGAGCACTGCTTTAGATCACATATGTCTGTTTAACCCCTTCCTTCCTAAGGAAATCTTCAGCTCTTTCAAGCACAGCATCTGCACACACATACATATACTCAATGCCACCTATTTTCCTGCTTTTTGCCTCAAATGACTCAGGAATTCCAGTCAGTAAATGCTGTTTCCTTTCAGAAAGCCTGAGAAGCAGGGCTGGGGAAGCCATTGACAGAGGGGCAAGGGAGGAGGAACTTGCATACAGCCACACGCCTCGTGTTTTCAGCTCTCCCTAACAGCACAAATTGCGGTCACCCAGGCAGTGGGCTCTGAACTGAGCATGCCAGCCACAGCTAAGCTGACAGCACTGCTGGTTCTCTGCGATTTTTGTGCATCGTCTGGCTTTATGGATGATGTGGTGGTTTTTTTTTTGGAAGCAATGCCATCGATTTCCGTGGAGAGGCACTGGTGCATCTGAGGAGACATGACTCCTGGTAACGCAGATGGCAGAGCCAGAACAGAAATATTTAAGTCTTGAGAGCATCTATGGATTGTTGGCCCGGATCGACTCTTAGGAGGGGTTTGGAGGGCTTGGTTTTCAGCAGAAAGTCATTAGTTCCCTGGCCCAGCCTAAAGGACATGCTGTAGTGCATACAAATTGCTAGGACATCACATTTCTTGGTAGGGTGGGAGAGATTTGGAGGGCTGAGAATTGTAGTGGACTCACAAGGGGTCATCTGGTGGCTCCATGCAGTGAAAACAGATTGCACAGAACATGCAGCAAAAAAGCAAACCACATTACTACTGCTATGGCCCCTGAAAGTATCAGCAGCTTCTCATCTTAGGAAGATAGGAAGGAGGATATATTAGGAAGGTTATGAAAAAGGAAAAACAAACAAAAACAACAAACAAACAAAAAATAAATCAAACCAAATGAATTATTATCTCCTTGGAATCAGATATATGAAAGTTATAAATGGTACGGAAAACATGCACTAAAAATGAATCATTTATCCATGTGTTAGCACCTAACAGTATTAAGAGTTTTAAACCACCCTGTTCTGATCAAAATGGGAGGAAGAGCTCTCAGAGTCTCATCGCTGCAGGCTTATGCCCATTTTGTGCCTTTTTGTGCTATGTGCTTTGCAGAACTTCTGCAGAACTTGGCTAAGGAAACTGTGACAGGAAAGTATTTCTGCCTCTGTTTACATGTAATTACTGTTTGAAATAAATTAATTGGACTTTACAACACTAGAAGCTGCCCAGATTTTTGTAGGAAATGTGGGGGGAGTCTAGGCACAGCACCAACCTCAGCTCTGGTCTGAGAGCAGCTGAACCTGCCTGCAAGCCTTCCCCTCCTCCAGATAATCCTGATGGATATACAGGTTTCTGGATGACATAGGAAATGATGTGCCAACCTTTCATTTGCTTTTGTAAAACTTTTTTTGTCATTCATTCATGCAGATACAATGGTAGTGAATGGTGGTTCCTGGAAGATATCGATTTCATCTGTTCTTTTTCCCCGAGTGTTTAAAGTCAGAGGACTTTAGAAATCAGAGACTATCCCAATAGCTGAAGCTTTCTTCATGCCTATGCATAGGTCTGTAAAACCACCAATTAAAATAATTCATGCTGAAGTCATCCTCTGCCCTCCTCCTTCAAAGAAACGAGAAATACCAGGCTTTCTGAAGGACCTGGTTTTGCTCCTAAATCAATCCCATCCTCGTTGGCGTGACCTTCTCTTGGTGACTTGCGTTGGGCCAACCTCTCTGAGGGACAAGCCAGGCAGGTGTGCGGGAGCGACACAGCCATCCGCAGGCTTGTGTTTTGTCAGCAAATTGGCTTCTGCTTATTTCCTCGCCTTCGAGACGAAACAGAGTCCTGGAATCACAATGTCCTTGCCTTTTCAGAAGAGCACGAAACAAAAGCAAAATCCAGGAGAAGGTTTTTTAGGCTCTACTCGAGCAGATGTCAGGGATACAAAAAGAGAAATTCAGACGTTTACAGCTGGGCCATTGTCAAATTAAATAGTGTGGTGGCAGTATTATAAAAATCAACCGTCTGATTATTCGCAAAATAAGGTGATTAAAATCAGAGTTGTTTCTTCTCCAGCTCTCCTGAATGTGACGGGGGAATCACGTGGAGAAAGGCCGGTGTCAGAGCTTCAGAGCCGAGCAGCTCCAAAAGTTGGCTTGTGGTGAGGTCCGGTGAGTGCAGGGGATGTTGAGGAGAGGCTGGGATTTTAACACGCGAGTAATTCACTAACGGGAGCCCCTGGAGGTGAACCAGGTCACGTAAAGACAAGGGGAGCAGTCTGCTATGGCAGCTGAGCAGGCCTTGCTGTTTGAGCTGTGTTTGTCACGTGCAGTGGAGACGTCTCTGGCTCCCAAATCCTGCTGCCCACCTTCTCCCCACACAAACAGAAGTGACTTTTGGGAAATGCATCCTTATTATGCTGAATGAGGCCTTCTCCTTTGCTTCTTCAGCTTCCTGTGGACACTGTTGGTTGCTGTGGACATGGCTGGTTAGAGGTGGATCCGGCCCCTTCCCATGCCCTGAGGCCCTGCTGGAGCAGCACCCTTGCTGCTTCTTCTTGATGTCAGGACCTTTCTTCAGCTGCTTCATGTGGCAGATCTGGTGCTCCGTAGGAGTAACAGCAGCAGGAGACAGCAGTAGAAAACAGCACTTTGATCCGGGGCTGCTGCCTTCCTAAAGGTGGCTGTGTAACCCCTGGGCCTGCCCCATCCCTCCCCTCAGCTGGAGCTGAGTGGGGTCTAATCTGTCCCTGGTTGTCTGCTTTAATGACAGGGATTTCAAAACGGGGGTCTGGTGCTAGAAAAGAGACTATTCAATACACCTTAGCCCTTAGTTAGAAACCCCTCTTGGTTTCCTAAGAAGTCCTTTCCTTCTGTTCAAAATCTGTGTTTGCATATGAACTGCAGCCTTCCCCCCTGGAACCTGGTGTGTGTGACACCGAAGGCACAACATCTCTAGTTACCATTTTGTGAAATCAGCTCAATCGTATCAAAGTGCTAGGTATCTGGTTTTTGATTGGAGCTTTGCATAGATTTCCCCCCTTCCATTTTATAATTATCTGATTACTTTTTTTAAAATTAGTGCGTTTTACAAGGCACGCAGAGTCCTCATCAAGAATCAAGTCATTAAGAAATTGCTTCAGCTCGTATGGTTCACATGTGATTTACTTGAGGCAAAGGCAAATTGTCATAGAGGAAAACAAGACAAATTAGGGAAGATTTTAATTAACGGTGAGAAATATTGGGGGCTGGCCAAATTTGGCTTCCACTATATTGGAGTAATTGTAATGTAAGTTCACTGAAACCAACGTGAACAAGGAAAAAATGTTGACTAGGTGAAAAATTATGGAGACGGAAAAGAGAGGAGAGGAGAGGAGAGGGAGAGGCGAGGAGAGGAGAGGAGAGGAGAGGAGAGGAGAGGAGAGGAGAGGAGAGGAGAGGAGGAGAGGAGAGGAGAGGGAGAGGATGAGGAGAGGAGAGGAGAGGAGAGGAGAGGAGAGGAGAGGAGACGGAGAGGAGAGGATAGGAGAGGAGGAGAGAGAGGAGGAGGAGAGGGAGAGGAGAGGGAGGAGAGGAGAGGAGAGGAGAGGACTGAGGAGCGGAGAGAGAGGAGAGGAGAGAGGAAG